TAGTTACAGGATAGCCATGGGGATGTAAAGTACAGTATAGGAAATGGAGTAACCAAGGAACATATATGCATGACCCATGGGCATGAACAATGGTGTGGAGATTGAGGGTGTGGGGGCTGCTGGGTGGTGGGGGGCCAAGGGTAAAAACTGGGACAACTGTAATAATATAATCAATACAATTTTAAAAAATAAATTAAAAACCCACTTAGATCCAGACAATTTGTTACTTATAGAGACAGCAAAAGTAAAAACAATGGTATTAGGTCCCTGTGTCTCTTGTCCCACAGGATGACACTGAAACAACAGGGACCTGATGGCATGCAACATCGATAGGTGGACACCATTGCTGAGTAACCAACTCCAAATTGCAGCTAAGCAGTTTTATGGTCTGCAGATGTTCCCTTTGGGGCTGGAAGGCAGGCAGAATGCCCCATACCTTATCAGAATGAAGGAGGTGGATGAGAAACTGCCTCATGGCAGCCTCCCTGAGATAAAGAGGTGAGTGAGGATGGTCTTTAGCCACAGCTCTTCATAAGACTGCCTATGTTCCTGTGTTCCGGTAGGATTACAGGGCATTCCACTAAGGCCCAGGGCAGCCTGCACTTGAACCATGCCTACGTGGCCTATGTGGATAGTGGGAGGCCACCAGGGAGCTAGCACAGAGCAGTCCCTCTACAGAAACCCCATGTATATTTTACAGTTACCACACATCTCAATTTGGGCTAGCAATATGTAAAGTGTTCAAAAGTCACATGTGGATAGTGGATACCATATTGGACAGTGCATGTCTGTAACATGCCAAAGCCAGAATCACTGGACTATGAAAAAAACTTTATGAGGTATCATATGTGTGTGTGTTGCATGGGGTGGAAAGTCAGGGTGGCAATAAGCCTTGAGGAACTGGAGGGCAGTGGTGAAGCAGTTACCCAGGGTTACAATGAGATATGGTAGTAGAGGGAATGGAAGGGCACTGCAGACACATTTGATCTTGCCCCGTTTTCTTCCCTTCCCCCCTGCCTCTCATTACACCTCTCACTGCTCTTGGGTTGCAGTATTGGACAGAGAATGGATAGGGCTCTTCTACTTCTCTTTCACCCCTAGATGCCACTTGTGGCATATGTACCACCCTCACTGACCTCAGTCTCTCCAGCCATGTCCCCAGGATACTTTTTTAAAATGTTTCTGTTCCAGTCCCCTGCCGTCCTTCACCTGGAAAGGCCTATCTTTTCAAACCCTGCCTCTTCTCCCACATTCTGCCTCTGACACTCAATTCCTTTCCCCCATTTTCTTTGTTCTCATCTTTTAAAATCTGGGTTTTGAGAAATAAGACCAGATCTCTATGGACATCTAATATGTGACAAAGGGGGCAGAAGCATAAAATGGAGCACTAATAGCCTCTTCAACAAATGGTGTTGGGAGAGCTGGACGGCTACATGCAAAAAATTGAAATTGGATCATCAGCTGACACCATACACAAAAATAAACTCAAGATGGATAAAAGACATAAATATAAGTCGCAACACCATCAAAGTCTTAGAGGAGAACATTGGCAGGAAACTCTCAGATATCCCACGCAGCAATTTTTTCACTGATATGTCTCCTAAAGCAGGGGACATAAAGGAAAGAATAAACAAGTGGGACCTCATCAAAAGAAGAAGCTTCTGCATGGCTAAAGAAAACAGCAACAAAATGAAAAGGGAGCCAACCCTATGGGAAAATATATTCCCTAATGATCCATCAGATAGAGGTTTGATCTCCAAGATATATAAAGAACTCACTCGACTCCACTCCAAGAAGACAAACGATCCAATCAAAAAATGGGCAAAGGACCAGGGCAGATGCTTTTCCAAGGAGATACAGAGAGCCCAGAGGCATTTGAAAGGATGCTCAGCATCACTAGCCATCAGAGAAATGCAGATCAAAACCACCATGAGGTACCACCTCACACCAGTCAGAATGGCCATCATAAACAGATCAACAAACAACAGGTGCTGGCAAGGCTGTGGAGAAAAGGGAACCCTAGTCCACTGTTGGTGGGAATGCAGACTGGTGCAGCCACTATGGAAAGCAGTGTGGAATTTCCTCAAAAAGCTGAAAATGGAACTGCCTTTGGATCCAGTGATTCCCCTCCTGGGACTATACCCTGAGAACACCAAAATGCCAATACAAAAGAACCTATGCACCCCAATGTTCATAGGAGCACAATTTACAATAGTCAAGTGATGGAAGCAACCTAAATGCCCATCAGTAGATGATTGGATCAAAAAGTGATGGTACATATACACAATGGAATACTATGCAGCAGAAAGAAAAAAAGAACTACTAAACTTCGGGACAGCATGGATGGAACTGGAGAGCATCAGGCTAAGCGAAATTAGCCAGGGGGCGAAAGACAAATACCATATGATCTCACCTATAAGCAGAACCTTACCAACAATACAAAGATGCAAGGAAAATATGACTAGCAACACTGAAAGGAAATCAACAGAGACAAGAGGGAAGGAGGGAGGGGGGCAGGGAAAGGGAAGGGAATGGGGAAAGTCAAGGAACATATAGCAAGGACTCATGGACAAAACCAATGGGGAAAAGCTGAGGGAGGGAAGGAGGGGAGGGGGCAAGGGAAAGTGGTGGGGGGGAGGCAGAGACAAATGTACTTAAAAATAAATAAATAAATAAATAAATAAATAAAGGAAGGAAGGAAGGAAGGAAGGAAGGAACATCTCCCCCCCAAAAAAAAGAAAACTGGTAAAATGAGTATAGAACATATAATAGGGAAACAAAAAAATAAATAAATAAACTCTGGGTTTTGGGGGGGGATTGTTTTTATATATTGGTTCTCAAGCTGTCCTCTTCTTTCCTAATATTGGCTTCATTTTGTTTGCTGTTTACATGTTTATCTCCCTTAGTCTCACTTATTCCCTACATTAATTAACCTCCAGCATTCCTTCGGTCTTTATTCCTCCTCCATAGGCCCTTCTCATACATAGTGACCTCTTCTTCTCTGCCCTTGGCTTACTAACTTCAACTTGAAATGGAAGCACATGAAGTGGCAGAGAAAACTTGCAAGTGCATTTCCTAGAGCAACACTAATTTCATCAACTGGGACCAGACCTGGGTCTAGCTGGGCTGCTTCCAGAAAACCCTCAGATACTTCTTGGTGATAACCATTATCACCCTTGATTTCCAGATGAGGAAATACAGGATCCAAGAGGTGTAGAAACTTGCCCAAAGTGAGTAGCAGAGATGGGATTTCAACCTTGTGTTCATTCCACTACATGATTCAATGCAAATATTGGCTATGCCATGTTTACCACATTTCTCTACCTGCTCTTGAAATCTCAATGCTATAGGGTTAATATGAGATGATTTGCTCTTTAGGAGTCCCAGTACTGGCAGCATTTTGTGACATTTCCTAATCCTAGTTTACTGCTTGTCTCTCCAGTTTCTTTTTGGTTATGAGTGTATTCATTGTGTGAGTGGTTTAATAAGGTGACAACAATCCATTTAAAATGATAAATTTATTTATTGTTTAAAGAATACAGAGTGGAAAACCTTAACAATACAGCTGAAGAAACAAACCCACCCATGGTTCTTAAGGGAGTCTTCATAGGCATCTGGTTTTTCCTAATCTTTTCTGATGGAGGCTCAGGATAAGCTTAGGATGACGAGGCTTCAGGAGGCTTAGGATGAAGAGGCTCAGAATAAGGAGAACATCTTGGAATTTCATCTCTGCTCTAACTATTCCCTTAGTTGGCAAATAACAGTGGGGCACAGTCCTAAAACACAACAGCAGAACAAAGATAGTACTGGCAAGAAATTATCCCTGACTCTTCTCGTAAGTGGCCTGAGGTGACATCTAAAAATGACTTGCTATTCACTTGACCCAGAAAACCCTGAAAAATCATACAAATAAAGAGGTTCAAATCTTTGTGTTCACTTTAAAAACACTCATGAAACTGCCCAGGCCATCAATCAAAGGTATGCATATTTGGAAAGCCACCAAGTATCTGAAAGGTGTCACTTTACAGAAACAATGTGTGCCACTGCATTGTTATAATGGTGGAGTTGGTAGGTGTGCCCAGGCCAAACAGTGGGGCTGGACACAGGGTTCGTGACCCAAAAAGAGTGCTGATATTTTGCTGCCTGTTTCAAAATGCAGACGGTAATGCTGAACCATAAGGGTTTAGACGTAGATTCTCTGATCATTGAGCACATCCAGGTGAACAAACCTCCCAAGATGCAGCACAGAACTTACAGAGCTCATGGGCAGACTAACCCATTCAGGAGCTCTCCCTGCCACACTGAGATGATCCCACTGAAAAGAGCAGATTGTTTCTAAGCCAGAAGAGGAAGTTACATAAAAGGAAATGATATTCCAGAAGAAACAAAAACTTATGGCCTGGGAGTAAATTCAGCATAAAATAAATGTTAATAGAAGTTTACAAAAAATCATCCCTGAGCACAAAAGCAGTCCCTACTACCTGACATAGAGATAATTTACTATTTACTATTTACTATTTACTATTTACAATTTACTATTAGCTTCCATGAAGTAGGCACTTAAATTCACTGTGGCCAGTCCTAGCCCTTGGTAGAAATGGCTTTATTTGTTCTATGTTTTAGAAAGTATATAAAGCAAACAGAAATAAAAGCTAAAACATATCCTAACCAATTGCACACTCTTCAGGCTATACTGTGTGTCTTTGGCAAGCATGACTGAATCAACCAATGGCACCTAGAACAGAGCAATATAAGTAATTCTCAAATTCATAAAGAGAAGTAAAGGCCCCTAGGTGAGTTGGGTCATTAGGTCTACTACTTTTTAAATATTCTGTCCCTTTCTCCACTACTACAAATTCCAAATATTATTAGCAAGAAGAAAGGAAACAAATACAAATGACTTAACATAAGGCAGTGAAACAAACAGAAACATGCAGTTTCATGTAGTCTTCAATGTGGTTGGGGAATCCAATGTTTGTGTGCCAAGCTGAAGGCTCTCCTTAGTTCTCCAGAAAGTATTTAAGTTTCTCCTGGAGGGAAATTATCTGTAGGGAGAGGCAGAAAAACATGAGAAATTCATCTGAAATCTTAAGTTCTACTACTTGACTTAGAATTATATGAACCAAAAAAGAACTGTAATTTGACATTTATATGGTTATCTTAGTCTTCTGATGTTCCAAAGAACAGTGCCATAGTCAAGAATGCATACACAGCCCTGGCCAGGTTGCTCAATTGGTTGGAGCATTGTCCCATACACCAAAAATTTGCAGGTTCAATGCCTGGTCACTGCACGTACCTAAGTTGCAGGTTTGATCCCCAGATGGGGTGCATATGCGAGGCAACTGATCGATGTTTCTCTCTTACATCTGTCTCCCTTTCTCTCTGTCTGTCTGTCTCTCTCTCCCCCAACCCTTCCTCTCTCTCTTTAAAATCAATAAACATATCCTGAGGTGAGGATTAAAAAAAAAAAGAATGCATACACACTGCTGCAACCATGATATTGTCTTTTATTATAGCAAACTTATAAAAGGAAGCTTTAAAATTGAATATGCTGAAAAATTTAATGTGTTTGCTGTTAATTTTTACTTCTGGAAAGAGGGTACAGAGGTCACAGCTCAGTGTGGGGACAAAGGAGATGGAATCACTGTAGCCATTATTCTAAGAGTCAGAAGATAAGGCAGTTGGGAGAGAACACAGTGAGTCTTATACCAAGTCTTAGCTGCTGCTTCTTATCACATTAAGAGACAGTTGGAAACTGGCTCAGAGTCCTGTCCAATCAGGAGCCTGATGGTGTTCTACTTATCCTGATGCATTCTAAGTCAGAAGCCCTGAATCTTTTGTGGTATAAGATTTAATTTTTTTTAAAAACTCAAAATGGCAAAGTTGCCAGTAACACTCAGAGTTATCCTGTCTTTGGGACAAAGATGATTTCTAAATATTATTCAATTTAGGTCGCTTCATACCAATGTGGATTTTCGTTCTGTGAAATAAAAAGAATAAAGTATTACAAAAATGATCCTATGATGCACACCACCTACCAAAACTGCTATAGTTGCCATCTTCAGTAAGAGGTTTTTTGTTTTTTTTCACTCAGATGCTGACTGTGATTACAACCACTGACTGCCCCAACTTTCTCCTTTGTGGGCTCTTTCTCTTCCCACCATCCTCTAAAGAGAGATTTTCCCTCTAGGTTCACACTTCTTGCTGAACAGTCACCCCGACTAACCCATCTATCCCAACAACTTCAGCTGTCATTTGTATGCATGAGCCACTCTCCAATCTCCCATTTTAGAGTGCTTCCAACTCAACTAATCATATTCTCCACACCCACCCCCAATAATCCTCTTCCTGTTGTCTTCATTTCTGTTTAGTGGCACACCATATTCTAGTTACCCAGATTTGGACTCCTTTGTTCCCCTTTTTGTCCTACATATCTAATCAATTGTTGACTTATGATTCTAACACTTACATCTTCCTCTAGTCTCCCTCACTCATTTCCCCTATATACTGCTGGAAGAGAAATCTTCCTGAATTACTCCCCAGGTAAAAAAGCTCTGATGGTTCACTATGATCTTCATCAAAAATCTAAACTCTTTAGCCTGGCATCAACGCCTTCTTTCTTTATTTCCTTATTAAAACCCTACCCACTTTTTAAGGCCTCAGTCAAACACCATCTCTCCATGAAGTCTTCCTTGATCTCCATGGACAAAAGTGAATCCTCGTTCCTTTAAATTCCCATCCCCCTCATGGATTTCTCTTCCACTGGAAGCAGAGAGTGTGTTGTAAGCATTTTGTAGCTCCCTGCAGAACCTAGCTCAGAGTAGGCACACATAAATCTACACTGAATACATGAGCTAACATAAAGGGCTCTGAGGGAATAAAGCTTACAGCTACCTTTCTATGTTGAAAATATCAATAGCACTCCCCAATATTAACTACTTACATTGATGAAAACTTGGTGCTATAGCAATCTTGGCATCAACCATTCATATGGTTGTTTATTAGCAATACCTGGATATGTGATTTGCTGAGGGGAGGGGAACATGCAGAACATGAGAATTCCCCTAGCCTTGTTGGATGGGGATGGGAAAGAGTATTGTCTCTACCTTAAGAGCCCCATGCTAAACCCATTTTCATTATATGACCTACAGTCTCTTTAAAATTGTTACCCTCAATATTATAGGGCTGGAGTTGGCATACATTTTCTTTGACCCTCATTTATCACACACTGCCCTCTTCTTTTCACTCTTTTGTGACATTAAACAATATGGTCACTCAAGTTAGATATCTAGCACACATCATTAACACTTCTTTCTCCTTCAACATCCAGTAATTGGCCCAGGTCCTATCAATTCTACCTTTAAAATCCATTCACTCATATATGAATGTTCGTAGCATCATTATTCATGATAGTGAAAATGTGGAAACAACTCAAAAGTCCACCGATGAATAAAAGTATAAACAAAATGTGATATATCCATATAATGGAATATTATTCAGTCATAAAATGAAATAAAGTACTGATATATGCCACAACATGGATTAACCTTGAAAACATTATGTTAAGTGAAATAAGTCAGACACAAAAGACTATATATCTTTCCTCTTATATGAAGTACCCAGAATAGGCAAAGCAGACTAGTAGAAAGTAGATTAGCGGTTGCCTAAGGGTAGAAGGTAGGAGTGATTCAGAAGAAATGGGAACTGAATGGTAATGGGTACAAGTGTTTTTGGGGGGGATAATGAAAATGTTTTAAAATTGACTGTGGTGATGGTTGCACAATTCTGTGAATGTACTAAAAGCCATTGAATTGTACAATTTAAATGGGTGAATTGTATGGCATGTGAATTACATTTCAATAAAGCTGTTATAAAACATTTATATTTCAGTTAAAATTATATATATATTCTTTACATCTCCATTGCCACCATCTTAGTTCAAGTTACTATCATCTCTTACTAGACTACCAAATAACCTCCTAACTGGCCTCCCTCTTCTAGTCCTGCCTTTCTACAATACATTCTCCATGTAAGAATCTGTGTGATCTTTTAAAAGGTTAAATTAATGTGAGTCTCCTGATTAAAACTCTTCAAGGACTTCCAATTGCACTTATAACTAAAACCCAACTTCCTTATCAAAGCCTGCAAGAGACCATACAGTATAGCCTCTGCCTACTTCTTCAGGCTTCTGTTGTCACTCTTCTTCCTTTAAATACTCCAGAGGTGTTCAAGGAGGCCAAATTCTTTCCCAATATGTGATCTGACATATGCTCCACCCAAAAGTTCCCCACCCTCCTTAGTCTGTACTTACCGTCCAGGTCTCAGCCCAAATATAACTTCCTCAGAAAGGCTGATCAGACCCCATACATGCACACAATTTAAATCAGGACTCTCTTTATTCAAATAGCACCAATGACTTTTCCCTTTCACGCACTTATTCATGATTTGTACCTTTAAATTTGTATGATTTGTTTACTGTCAATCTTCCCTGCTAGGCTCTTAGCTTCATTAGGACAATAATTGTATCTGCCTTATTCAAGGTGAAGGGATTAAGGAGTACAAATCGTAATTACAAAATACTCAAGGGAATGTAAAGTACAGAATAGGAAATACAGTCAAAATATTCTAACAACCATGTACGGTGCCAGATTGGTACGAGATTTATAGGGAGGAACACTTTGTAAAGTATATCATTGTCTAACTCGTATGATGTATGCCTGAAACTAGTACAACATAATATTGAATGTAAACTGTAATTGAAAAATAAAATTTAAAAAACACTGTATGTACATCCAGGGCTTTTCACTTAACAGACATTCAATATCTGTCAAATGAGTGAATTTTCACAAAGACCTTGTTCCAACCTGCTGCCCTCAGTTAGAAGATTTGGGCACTACTATTCCTATTAAGGACAACCAGAAATGAGGTTAAGGGTGGGGTATTCTTTGTATCAAATGTTTTCTGCTTGATTTGAAAACACATTTCTTACCTGCTCATTTTTTTGTTTTTCCTGTAACTTAAGTTGCTCCAGCACAGAGTGTAAATGATTCTGAAAAACAAATTGTATAAATGATACATGCAGAATTTCAAAAAAAAAAAAAAAGGACCAAGAGAGACAAAGAGTTTGGCAAATAATTTGATAAGAAAACTGTCATTTGTAACAAAAGAGCAACTCTTTTTTAAAGGATTTGAAATATAAAGACTGTGCCCCCTAACTACAAGACCCTAGATTTGATTTAATATACCATACACAACATTTTATCTTGTCCTAAAATAAATGGTTGGAATGCCTTCATGTTACATTGTTCTGGTTTAGCACAAATCCACTGAATGTGGTGAACTTTTTAAAAAGGTGGCTTAGGAGAATCAAGATGGCGGAGGAGTGAGTGGAAGTCACACTGACCTCCTCCCAGGACCAACCTGGAACTACAACTAAATTGTGGAGAACACACCTGGAACAAACAACTGAACAATAGCGAGAGAGGAGCCTTGTAATCTCGGAGACAGAAGAATTGGTTTTAGGGCACTCTAACTGGTAAGGAGTGCGGTACAGACCTGAGAAGGCAGGCGGGGTACCCATGGGCGGCAGTACCAGAAGGATATTAAAATGGCCAGTCGGATCCCCCTGAGAAGAGCGGGCTCTAAGCCAATAGTGGGGATCTCAAGCCCACAGAACCAGAGCCCAAAAGATACACAGGAAACAGCCAGCTGCAAAAAGCGGCAGGGTTGCTCTCTGCCAGAGATGGGCAGCTGGAGATGCAAAGAACTGATTAAAGGGCCAATGCATAAATTTTTATTTGCAGCTACTTATCTGGTCTCTGGCCAAGGTGGGGGCAGAGTGGGCAAGAGATGCCTGAGGAGAGACTAGGGAAGGAGGCTTTGGGGAGAGAACTGAGAAAATAGCTGGTGGGATCTCGGTGCTGACCCATCCCCCATGCAGGAGCAGCCATCTTGCTCAGGCAGAGAAGACACCCCCTGAGTGGCACCAGTGTCAAAGGACGCAATAGCCCCGTTCCTAGGTGGGATTCCACCCTGCCCTGTGGTGTCTAAGCTGCCTGCAAAGTGTAGAGTGGCAGGCGCAGGCAGTAGATCCCTGGCTAAAGGGGGTACAGAGATGTCTGGCAACACTTGAGGAAAGACTGGGAACGGAGGTTTTGGGGAGACAACAGAGAGAGTAGCTGGTGGGAGCTCAGTGCAGACTCCTCCCCCATACCGCAGTAGCGTGAGTGGACCCAATAACCCCACTGCCAGAAGGGACTCCACCCCACCATGAGCTGTTTAAGGCATCCTACTGAGTGCAGAGTGAATAGATTAACAGCTGAAGGAGACAGCCACAGACAGTAGATTACTGGAAGTGTCGAACAGACTGTCAAAGGTCAGACAGGGTCAACATGTGACATCATCAGAGGCAGATCCAGAAAGCAAAAACAGTGCTCTCAAACCATAGAATTTCACACCACAAAGTCAGGAGATCAAGACAGATCAACTTAAGAATCAGAAGCAAAAAAGGAGAGTCTCACAAATAATGGGAAGACAAAGAAATATGCCCCACTTAAAGGGAAAGGAGGAATCCCCAGAAAGAGAACTAAACAAAATAGAGGCAAGTAAACTATCAGATATTGAGTTCCAAACAACGGTTCTAAGGAAGCTCAATGAGCTCAGTGAGCTCAGAGAGAATTACCAAAAACTACAGGGACACTACGAGGAACTTACTGCAAATTATATCAGCATGAAAAAGGACATAGAAACGATCAATAATAGGCAAGAGGAAATGAAGAATACAGTTTCTCAACTGAAGAACACAGTAGAAGGAACCAAAAGCAGATTCAATGAAGCTGAGGAACAAATCAGCAAGCTGGAGGATAAGGTAGAAAAAAACTCCCAGAAAGAGCAAGGAAATGAGAAAAGACTCAAAAAGAATGAAGAGGCATTTAGAGAAATGCAGGACAACCTGAAATGTAATAATATCCGTATAATAGGGATATCAGAAGAAGAAGAGGATGCAGAAGGGATGGAGAATGTGTTCGAAAAAGTAATGATGGAAAACTTCCCTAATTGGAGGAGAGAAAAGGGCACACAAGCCCAGGAAGCACAGAGGGTCCCATTCAAGAGGAACCCAATGAGGCCCGCTCTAAGACACATCATCATGAAAATGGCAAACATCAAAGAGAAACAGAGAATCCTAAAGCAAGCAAGGGAGAAAGAAGTAGTAACATATAAGGGAGCCCCAATATGGCTAGCAGCTGACTTCTCAACAGAAACACTGCAAGCCAGAAGGGGCTGGCAACAAATATTTCAAGTAATGAAAAGCAAAGGCCTACAACCAAGACTGCTCTACCCAGCAAGGCTCTCAATTAAATTGGAAGGCAAAATAAGGAATTTTCCAGACAAAAGAAGGCTAAAAGACTACACCTCCACCAAACCAGCACTGCAAAAATATGCTAAAGGGACTGCTTTAAGATGAAGAGAAAGTTTCTATGAATACCGAGTTCCTTTCAGAGTGGCCAATACTTGATATTACCAATATTTTTAATACTCATTAATCTGATTGTGACAATGATGTTATTTTAATTGTTCCTTTACTATATGTTGAAACTAAACCTGTTTTTGTATATTTCTTGCCTATTTCTATTATTTCAAAAAAAGCTTTAAATCACTTTTTGGTATTCTTTATCCATTTTTTGATTAAAGGTTTGTAGAACTTTTTTCCCTAAAAAAGAAAACCACACAAAAAAGAAACGTATTAACCATGTTTTAGGGGTTGCACATGCTTTTCTATTCCTTGTATTTTAAGTTTTTTATATGTATATTACTATATAGTTAAATGTTTAATACAGTCATATTGTCAATATTTACTTTATAACTTCTGAGGTTGAATAGTTTACTTCAGGTCATGAAAATATTAGTTCTATTTTCTTCTAAAACTCCTTAGATTTACATATTGATTTTTAACTCACCTGAATATTTCTTGTATAATGTGTGAAATAAGGCTCTATATTTGTTTTATTTCAAGTAATAGTGGTCCATGGACCTTATTTGTTGAATAAGCCTTATTTTACCCATTGATTTGAAATATCAACTTAATCACATACTATATTGTTAGATATATACATTTGTCTCTAGAATGCTCATTATATTTCATTGATCTAGTTGATTTTTTTTGTGCAGGAGTCATGTTGGTTTAATTGCTGAGACTTTATAATCGTCTTAAATATTTTTAGTATTTTATAATTAACTTTGACATCTAAAAAAATAAATAAAATCAACCTGCATTTAAGAAAGAGAGAGAGAGAGATGGAACGCCTACCTTTTGCGTCAACATGGATGGAAATGGAGAATATTAAGCTAAGTGAAATAAGCCAGTTGATGAAAGACAAATACCATATGATCTCACCTATAAGTGTACTCTATTGAACAAAATAAACTAATGAACAAAATAAACTAATGAACAAAATAAACCGCAGGCATGGAAACACAGAGCAGACTGAAAGTGACCAGAGGGGATGGGGAAAGAGGACAATGGTGGAAAGAAGGGGAAGGGAGTAGATAAAGAACATGTATGAACGACCCATGGACATGGACAACAGAGTGGGAATTGACTGTGGGAGTGGGGGATGGGATGGTTGCAGGGGGGTAAAGCGGTAAAAATTGAGACAACTGTAATAGAGTAAACATGATTTATAAAGTAAAAACAAAAAGGTGGCTTGAAATTTGGTTTTTACTCCTTCATTTTTCTGCTCTAGGGCAGAATATTACTATTCTTAACTAGTATTGCCTGCAACACAATATTAATATACCATGTATCTATATCTTTCAAAGTGTGTCCACATCTGTTATCTCACTTGGTTATTCTAAAGGATAACAGTTTAAATCCATGTTATTTTATTCTCTTTTGATGACTACAGGTATACAGAAAATGAAATCTGGCAAGTTGTTCTTCAGATGCTTCTGAATTTCCCTCACTACAGAAAGGAAAGCAAACATGCTATAAACACATATTTTCCTTTTGTAAAAAATTTGTATTAATAAAAATAAATCTAGATATATATTCTTGTTCAATAATGCATCAGAAAATTTAAAAACAAATTTAGTTAATTCTCTTTCATTGCAATGAATGTATTTTGGTACAAACAGGGTTCACTCTATGTCCTATTGCTTTCTGTGGTCCTTGGCATGTTACTTAACCTCTTTGAATTTTAATTACTTATCTATAAAATGGGAATAGTAACAGTACCTATATGTCAGAGATGTGACAATGGAATGAGGTGATCCATGTAAAGTTCTAAGCTCTTTATGTGCCTTTCACATAGAAAATGCTCGATATTGGTAATTACTATCTCAAGTCTCCTGGTCCCATCCCCCAAAACATGCTTATATGAAATTATAAAAATCAATCAGATAGAAGCAAATGGGGCTATCTATTATTAGGGGTTTTCTAAGAATTTGTTTAGCTTCATGAATGAACAAGAATGCTGCTCAGAGGGGACATGAGTGGAAACACAAGACGGGATTTTGAAAGTAAGATACCAAGATCTTTACACTAACCAACAAGAATTTACCTTGAGTGTCAGGTTTTCCACTTTCTTGATGAGATCTTTCTGTCTTTGTGCTCTGCACTGAACCTCTTGGAGCTTTTTCTCCATATAATGAATATGCTTCTGAATTTCCATGACTAACAGAGATAGACAGAAACTTTATGTATCTAAACACAGCTTAAACTAGTGGACTGAAATCCAAGTCAACTAAAAGCCCACTACACATCTGAGCAATAACTTTTCAAAGTTAGCCTTGCATCTAATGTGTGTTTAGAGTCAATATTTAGCACTACCACTCACTCTCTCCCACCCATTGTTTTTTCTTCTAACTTACCTATTGAACTGGCTCCTTCCTTTGCCTCACACTGGCCAAATTCAATTAACTTGGCCTGTAGTTCCCTTTGCAGATTCTCTTCATAATACTGTTCATCCTCTTCATTCTTACCATCATAGTAAAACTCCTCCTCCTCATCATCATCAGCCTCGTCCTTGTCCTTATCATCATCACTGCTACTGCTAGAATCACTGAGTATCTCCCGAAGCATATGATATTCTATTGATTTTAAGCAGGAAGAAGGTGAAACAACCTGAAGTTTTTCAAATGACTCCCACTCCAGCTACAATTATAGTCCTTCCCCTCAAATTTACTGGGCAACCAATGAATTTTATAAGTAATTTCTCATGTAGGAAGATTATTCACTTCGAAAAACAAGGACAGGAAGTGTAAAACACTGTAACATTCATTCATGTATTCAATGATCAAGATATTTAGATGATCTAAGGGTCCATAGGAATTTAGAATACTAGGGACTGATGGTAAATTACAACCCCAATCTAAAACCTGCAAAGTACTGAGGGACCAATAAGAGGAAAGAAGGGCAAAGCCATCCTTTTCCTGTAATTAGCCTGTAAGAATATGGAGAATGGTCTTACACAGGGTGAATCCCTACCCTTTCTGAAGCTCCTATTTTTTGCCTTTACTAATGTACCTGATGAGCTATGATCCTGCTTATAGCCACTTGTTCCTGGGGATATCTCAAAGCTTGGAATGGAGCCTTTACTTTCTATATCCTTGGTTTCACCTTCAGCAATGACTTCCCATCCTGAAAGAAGAGGCAGTCAAGGAAAAAAGGCAGAAAGAAAGGAGAAGACACCATTGAAAGGGAAGACGTTCTCTGCTGAAAGTGCTATTTATATTAATCCAACTTCAGGCCTTTCTATCTAGATTCCTAATATGGAGAAGTGCCTTCTATTGAAAAAAGTAAATGAATATTTATTACATGAATTAATTGTTCCTAGCTAGAAAATAAAATTTCCAATAATCATAAGTTCTATACATCAAAATCAGCACACAAATACCAGAAGTGAGGGCTTGTCAGCAAGTGCATATAGGATGGAACAGACTACACAGAACATATTTAGTATAAAAGGATACGGACACTGACAGCTTCAGCATCAGAACACAGCAGTCTTTTCACTTCCTTTTCCACATCAGGAGAGTCAGTGTACTGGACCAGAGTAGGGGTGGGAGGAATACCAGTAATGTCATTTAACATTCTGTGTTTCCCATGAATACCCTTTTCCTACATACAAATAAATTCAAGTAATTAGCCCTCTTTAAGATATCCATCCATCCATCCATCCAAATTTGTAATTTAAGTAATACTTATGAAGGAATCTTGACCAGGATCTAGATTTTTGTATGGTAAGCTTATTTTTATCCCAAGTTACTTGAGATATTTAATATTTTCAGTTTGCAACTCTACATAAAAGACTTCTCTCAGGGTCAAACCTGAGGCCTCAGTTATTAATTATTTGCCCTGACTCACATTAGCAAATGACTATAATTTCTGATGTGTTATTTAGAAGTAATTTGATTTAAAGATCCAAACTCCTAGATTCCACTTTCCCACACCTTTATTATTAGAGGTTTTCCTATTTTTAAAAAAGGATCCTAGCTACAAGTTCTCTCTTATATACAGCTTTAGGCAATTATTTCCACAACTTATTCATCATGCCACAAATAGAAATTAAAACTTTGAGAAGGAATAAGCAATTGCAAGTAACTGCTTGTAAAAGTGAATCTTGGCTTCTAAGAAATGGCTTTCTAAATAAATATCAGAGGGAAAAAAGCAGATTAGGATATACAGGGTCACTAGCCAAATTGTCAAATTGTATCATTTCCTTTAGGAGTTATCAGACATTACACAATGAATTCATTTTTCAGTGAATCAAATTCAGTGTATGTATATGAGAGCAGGAATTAGAGATGAGAAGAAAGGCTTGAAAGTAACCTCTATGATTTCTTTGTAATTAATGAACTATGAAATAAAACATACTAAGGGGAAAAAATAAAGTTATATTATGACTGGTCTACCTCAGTAAAGCTCACTTCTTCAACTTGTTTGAAATCAGCCCGCTATAAAGTAAGACACAATAAACAATGAAGTTATAGTACAATTGTCATACTTCACTAAAGCTTAAAGAGTTCTAAAACTATTCTTAACTTAGGTTTACACTTAGTAGGTACTCAATGAGTGCTTTTGACTGACTGTAAAAGCCAAGGCAACCATGTTCACAGGTTGAAAGACTAGTAAAGATGTCAATTCTCCCCAAATTAATCTATAAGTTTGATACAATTCTTATCAAAATTCCAACAAGGCTTTTCTATAGACATAGACAAACTTATTCTCAAATTTATATGGAAAGGTAGAGGCTCTAGAAAGGTTAAAGAAATATTGACAAAGAAAAATAAAGTGATAAGTCTTTTTTTTAAGTTTAATCTTTATTGTATTTTTCCATTACCATTTAGTCCCCTTATATTCCCCTTCCACCCTGCAATCACCACACCATTGTCCATGTCCATGAGTCCTTTTTCCTTTTTGTTCAATCCCTCCACCCCCTAACCCCACCACTATCTGTCATCTGCTGTCCATCAATGACTCAGTAGCAGTCTTCTTGATTTCATGACATTATATAGATACATTGTGATATCAGTGGAGGGATCAACGCATAGATTAATGGGACAGAACAGGGAACCCAGAAAAAGACTCACACAAATATGCCTAACCAATTTTTGACAAAAGTACAAAAGAAATACAACAGAGGAAGGACAGCCTTTTAAACAAATGGTGCTGGAGCAATTGAACATGTAAAGGCAAAAAAAATGAACCTTGAACTAAACTGTACACATTTTACAAAAATTAACTAAAAAACAGATTGTGCACGTAAATGTAAAATGCACAACTTTTAGAAAAATGATATAGGAGAAAATCTTCAGGATCTGGGCTGGGCAAAGAGTTCTTTGACTTAACATAAAAAGCAAAATCCTTAACAAGAAATATCAATAAATTGGATCTCATCAAACAAAAACCTTTTGATCTTTGAAAGACCCTGTGAAGAAGATGAAAAGACCATCTACAGGCTGGGAGAAAATATTTGCAAACCAGATATCTGACAAAAAGAAATATTTAGAACATATAAAGAACTCTCAAAACTCAACAATTTTTTATAAAGAGCATTTTGTGTTACTTTTTTAAAGACTTTATTTATTTATTTTTAGAGAGGGGAGGGGAGGGAGAAAGAGAAGGAGAGAAACATCAATGTGTGGCTGCCTCTCATGTGCCCCCCACTGGGAACCTGGCTGGCAACCTAGGCATGTGCCCTGTCTGGGAATCAAACCTACGACCCTTTGGTTTGCAGGCCCACACTCAATCCACTGAGCCATACCAGCGAGGGCAAAACTCAAAAATTTTTAAAAACCCATTTAGAAAATGTGGCAAAAGGCATAAATAGACATGTCACCGAAGTGGATATACAGATGGCAAATATGCATATGAGTATATAGTCAACATCACTAGCCAACGGGGAAATGCAGATTAATACCACATTGAGATCACTACACATCTATCAGAATGGCTAAAATAAAAAATAGTGAGAATACTTAATACTGGTGAAGATTGAGAAGTTAGATCACACATACATTGCTGGTGGGAGTGTAAAATGGTACAGCCACTCTGGAAAACAGTCTAGCGGTTTCTTAGAAAGTTAAACATGCAACTACCATATGACCCAGCAATCACATTTTTGGTCATTTATCCTAAAGAAATGAACACTTAAGTGCACACCAAAACCTGCTCACAGCTTTATTTAAAACAGTCAAAAAATGGAAACAACCCAGATCTTTCCATGGGTGAACAGTTAAACAAGCTGTGGTACATTCATACCATGGAATTACTCAGTAACAAAAAGGAATGAACTATTCATACATGCAACAACTTGCACAGATATTAAGGATAGGTTCCCACTTATATGACATTCTCAAAATGACAAAATTATAGAGATGGAGAACATGTTAGTCATTGCCAGAGGTTTGAGACTGACTGGGGGTGTAGGATAGGTGGCGGGTGGGGTGAGTGTGGCTATAATTTTGGTGAGGGATCCTTTTGGTGACAGAACTGTTTAGTATCTTGACTGTGTAGGTAGATACCTGAACATACACAGAGGATAAAACTGCATAAAACTAAACACACACACACAGACGAGTACAAGTAAAACCGGAGGAATCTGGATAAGATAGGTAAATTTTAATGATGTCAATTTCCTCTTTGTGATCCTGTACTTTTACAAAAAGTTACAACAGGGAAAACTGACTAAAGGATACATGGCATCTCCCTTTTATTTCTTACAACTGCGTATGACTCTACAATTATTTCAAAATTAAAAAAAATTAAAAGACAAAGCCAAACCACAGTACTCCTGTAGCTTGCCCAAGGTTCTAAAAGTCCAAGGTAAGGTTAGGAATATAGCCACAATTCCCAATTCTCAGATTCTGCATGGGTTTACTTTAACACTAAATCTAGCAATTGAAAATTAAAAACATTAGCAGAAGTTTCAGATTCAAGACATAAACAGGTCCCTAAAGAACTACTCTATAACCTCAAGGATTAGGTTGGTTTTTGTTTATAATATTCCCAATTGCTAACATACAGTGCGTAACATTTAGTTCACACTCAATAAATGTTTACTAAACATACAAATGAATGAACAGATTAATCCCCAACTGACTGTCTCTTTTTTCCCCACTCATAATACTTTTCCAATCCACCCAGTAGACACATAAATAGTATGCAACTAACCTTTTTTGTTGTTTTGCGGAACCTTTTCTTTCTGACATTCTTAAGTGGTGGAGTAACTAAAATAAACGCAACATGGTGAAACATATACTGACAGTAGTCACATATCTATCTGAATTTGATAAGGAGAAAGGTGACATTTTAAACTCCTGGCTCAGAACATGACTCATTCCTTTAAGAGTGTCTGGATGCCTAATGAACCAAACACCTAAGGGTGGTAAATGGGTCTCTGGCTCACAAATAATTAGGGTTCATCAGATAAATGTAGTCATCCAGAGGAGAAAAAGGGCTGGTGACTTACTCCCATGCTTCCATGCATATTTTTTCCTCCTTGCCTTTTCATTTTTCTTGATTCCTTTAAGATCAGTAGACGTAACGGGTTCTTCTGGAGAAGAGTGGAGATCACCATCAGCAGTGCACACAAGCATCTACATTTAACAAAGAGAAAGAAGTTGACTACGGCCGCTTATCTTGACTTAGTAATGAATTGTGATCATTCTTACCACAAGATGCCCTGAAGCATAGAATCATTAACAATGTTATTTGGCATTTCCAGAAAACCAAGTATTACATACATTCATAGTCATTCTCTCTGTGTCTTGGCAGCACTGTATATGGGCTCTGAGTGGGTGTTTTTTAGCTTGAGTGTTTACTACTACAGAAGAAATATGTTGAAAACAGACATATCCTAGCATTTGTCTTAAAAAGGAAACAAAAAAATCAAGAGTAGAGATAATGAATAAGAACCAATGTAAATCTCCACAGCTAAAAGCATACAACAGAAAGGTCAGAAGAAAATGCGAGTTGCTCATATTTTTCAAATAGTGAGTCACTATAAATAACAAAGAGGGTGCTCTAAAAGCTGTATGGATAAAATAAAACAGTGAAAAATTATGGATCAAACACCAAACCAGAACATGCCATTGTATTCCTGTCCAATTGAGCTAGAAATTAGAAATGACAAGTAGTTATTCACCAAGTGGAAAGGGGCACCGAAAGAAAGAGAAAAGGAGGGAGAAAGGGATTCCTGGAAGGGTGTGAGAGCTAGGAGATTAAGAAAACTGTCCATACCTGGGAAATATCTGCCGTTTTATAAAAAATTTTGTTGTCAAGAGTTTTCAGGCTTCCAATAGCACAAGGCAAGTCAACCATCTTAGCAGTTAGTGAGACATCTTTCACCTCAACAGTCGCATGACGTCCATCAGCTGAAAAGAAGCAGGAAAGATTAAAGTTGACATCTTCCCAATGTAGCCTTAAACCTCCTAGGGTTTGAATAATGAAGACTCGTATGGGACAGATTAGTCTTTCAGTGAAATCTACTATTTCTCATAATGCTAGAATTGTGCATGCAATTAGTAACTCTCCAGAGAAAAGAAGGCAGGGTATATGGAGTGCTTTTTCTCTTAGTTTATGTCACTTGATCAAAAGTAGTGAATTTTCTTAGTAACGGTTGTGAGCTAAATGTAGATACAGTAGTAAATGTTTCATTCTCATCCTGAAAGGCAAACTCCATTTATTCAAACCCATTCCTTTTGACAACATAAGAAGTGTTCAATCATTTCATTATGCATGGGTAATTTCAAAGGGTCAGGTGAGGGAAGGGTTGATCCTAGAATGGTACTGATTAAGTCTCAAGTTATAACCTCTAACTAGCTTCAAAAAGATAAAGCTCTACAAAACTGCCATATACTGGGAGAAATATGTATATTAGATTACACACACACACACGTGTGTGTGTGTGTGTGTGTGTGTGTGTGTGTGTGTGTATACATACACATATACTGACAGCTCTGATTCCTGCCCAGATGTATCAAACATGGATATCTTTTGAGGATTCAAGTGTAATCTTCTAACAGTAAGTGAAAAAAAAGAAAGATGCAGAACCAGGTGTGACATAATCCTTTTTGTGTAAATTAACTTTAAAGACAGAGAGAGATTATTTAAATGTTGGTATTATGCATAAAAGTTTTGTCTGTAAACACAAGGAGAAAGGGTTAATATTAGTTACCTTTGGCATTGATTTTGGGGCACTGTGATGGACAGTTTCACTCCTCCTTTTGAACTTTTCTGTCTTGTTTGAATTCTTTAGCCACAAACTGGTACTGCCCTTTTTAAAAAATGTCAATAAGACTTCTAGAGTGGTAGCCTTATGGCCCACTTTTTATTTCCTTCTTTATATACTTCTCTGTATTTATTTTATTTTAGCATCAAAATTTTATTGAATAAATACATGCATTGTCACGTAAAATTAGCTGAACAAAAGGACATTCTATAATAAAAAATCTTCTGCAGCTTTCAATGTACAGTGGTTGATTTAGCTAGAATTGAAGTTAAAGTGACAACACAGTTTAAATGCACATACACACAAATTTGCAGTTGGCATACGTCTTACTTCTCTGTTTTAAAGACCTAATAAATGTTGTTTAAAAGAGAGAAAAGTATATCACCTTTGTAAATAAAGAACAGTACTTTCATTTGTCACAGTCAGAAATCACAAAGCTTTGTATGTCAGAGACAATCAGTAGTATGCAAAGCCCACAGTTGACCCCCAAGTTCTTCCTTATACATACTGATAATTACCTCAGGTTGCTTAATATTTACTTCATTTCCTCTTAAAAGAGATAAGATTGACTTAAGCCTCTTTTAGAGTCCATCAAGACAGAGAACACATTATAGTCTTCGCCACATCCTTAGTATGGAGGCATAGAGCAATACCTTAATAAAATTACTGCTCAGTGTATAGTGAATGAATATTAACTACTTACAAGACAAGTCGATTTTTAGTTTATCCTTCATGGCAACACTTCCAGATTGTATCATTTCCCTGACAGTAGCAGCATGTTCCTAAGAAAGAGGTAAATTGACAAATTGGAAGGATGAATTGACTACTTGGCAGACAGTAGAACAGGTATGTCATAGACTGTCCTCCTTAAATAAAATTCAAACCTCCCAAACATTAGAAACAATGACATGTGCTATGAGATTCCATGCATTGTTCAAGTCAAATTAGGATGAAGCTGACTCTAATCTCGTTGTTGTCTTTTAGCTACAGTTAATGCCTCCTCCCAGCTCTATATTCTTGCCTCTCACTGCTGCCCTTCAGTTGTAGTTACTAAGGAAAGGCTTAGCTGCTGTTTACTGAGTACATTAATTAACCCTATTTGGGGAAACAGCTTTTGGAAACCCATTATTAATACAGGTTTTGTAGATTAAATAATACTTGAATACAGTTCTCAATGGAGGGGGTGAGAACCTAACACAATGTTGAGAGGAGCTTCAACAGCCTTGCATAGTGATGAATTTGCAGGACACTGTGCTGGTCCTTCTCAGTGGCCCTTCTGAGGTGACAAAGGATTTTAGAAGTCTTGTCTTGGCTGTCCAATGAGCAGTCTGTTAGCATCTGTGATAAGTGACCAAATCCATCATTGTTACAGCTATTTGCCAGGAAGTCAACCCACACGATAGGTGGCATGTATAAGACAAAACAAATGCTGCTAAAAGAGTACACACTAGGATAGGACTGCTTAATAGAACATGATTCCTGCGTCTCAGTTTTTATAGCCTACCTTAAATAGAAATAATGCTACAGATTCCAAGCAGAGCTAATATTTATGCACTGAAGATACTTTCTCTGAGATAGAAGGATTTCTTACCAGAGGCAGACGCAATATAAACTGGTTCTCAATTTCGTAAGGAGGTTCATGCTGGCTTTTACTCATCTCTTGTTTTTGAGTTCATGAAAATAAAAACAAAACCAACAGAAAGTCACGAAAACTCCTCTTGCTCCCTCTGCTGATCACTTCTGGTAGTACTGGTTAAATTATACGAGATTTTGTCCACAATCTTCACTGGAACGGTGTGTGTGTGTGGTTCTAAAATACCTTATTCAAAATAACTTTATCATTTCTAAAAGTGACTTTATCTCTCCCATAATATGTGAAGATTTTCAAAAATTAATGCAAATATCATGATTACAAAGTCAGAACTCTTATGAAACATGAGTTAGTGTTTTTAACGATATTGTTAGACTCATGTAAAGGACTATAATTTCACCAATATTGTGGGGGAAACTGAAACAAACTATATGCCTCTGCATGGATAATGCCAACCAAAGTCTAAAACCAAACCCAAAACAAATGGCAAAAAATGTTTTATGCTGATTAAAAGAAATCAAGAGTTAATTTTCAATATTTCATTCATCTTAATGGATTGGTAAGAATTAAACAAGACCATGGGAGAGCAGGCAGTTTTTTATGACTTTAGAGCCAGCATAAATAGTTCAGAGCTACTTTCTGAAAAGTTCAGTTCTTATTATTAGGCTATGTATAGGAGTACACCTAACTTTGTGGAATAGACACATTCCTGAAGGGTGATATGAAAGAATGTAAACTCCAATTTATTCATCGCTAAGATTTACTGTGTGCATTCAATGTGTAGGAACTACATTGAGCATGTTAGGTCTATTATTTCACACAAGCCTCAGAACCACCACTTATTTTAAGTACTCCTAAAAATTTTTAAATAAACCCTAAAATGAATCCCTTTTTTTTTTAATCACAAAAGACATCTTCTGTAAGGTGAACAACCCTCTCCAAGGTAAACTTTATTTTTCATCTTACTTTCCACCTATTTGGGATATATCTGAAGTGGCTTGCATTTTTGCTTTTTGGGACCACACTTCTTCTGAGGAAATTTTTCTCAAAAGTGGAAAGAAAGCAATGTATGCATATGAAACTTGACAAAGTTTTCTTAGGTCCTAAGGACATTATACTATACACTAAGTTATAAAATCTTATACATATACCTCATGTTAAATTAATGTATAGCTCCTAATACTTTGTAAGCCATTAACTGGGCTCTGAGTTCTGAACTTGAATATCACTTAAAAGCACAGGAACCTTTCTTTAAAAACATGTACAAGTTAGTCTGAGACCCTATTATGGTGAAATCATTCACCAGTTACAATTCAGTCCTTTAGTATGACTTCGGAAACTACCAGAAAGGCATAGATAGAAAGCACAAGAGAGGCCAGCAGTGGAAAGGCAGACAGCCAGGATGAGAGAGAAAAAGACAGAGGCATTGATTATTTGTGATAATCAGTTTTTCTTCCTGCTTCATACAGTTACACACACATAATGTAAACATAAGGGGGAAAGTTAATTAAGATAAAGCAAATTAAATTAAAAATCTTGGGGCTGGGAAGATTGCACTACAGCACAAAAAGTAACAAACACTAAGATTGGGAGCAGAAATACACATACTTGAAGAACTAGCTGTTAAGCAAGATTTTATCGAATCAGTAGTAACTTTTAGATTTCTCAGCAGAACTAAGACTAGGACACTTTGTTCATTTCAACGCCTTCCTCTCAACTCCTGTTTTATGAAAGAAAGAATGTAAAAACGGAAACTTTCAGAGAAAGTTGGCAATCCTGGTTGAAATTTTTAATATTTTTCAAAATTTGCTACCTTCATTTATCCAATGAACTGGTTGTATAATATTTAAAAGACATCCACTTTTATCTTGGCAAGCACTCTTTGATACGTAATTAAATTAACAAGACCTCTCTCCACCATTTACCTCCCTGTTCAAACTCGCGTCAGTAGAATTAGATTTGGAATCAGAATTATGGCGAGGTGGAAGGCGACTGACAATATGCACCAGGCAGCTCAAGTCACCATCAGCCAAAATTGGCATTTTCTCATCTTCATAGCCTCTGGCTGCAGTTTAGAGGCAATAACCGCTCCATCCTTACCCCAGGGGCACTAAGCTTCCAAGGGAAGAGTCCAGCTCCTAGACTTTGAACAGATTTCCCTGGAAAGTCAAGGGGTCGTATCCTCTGAGCCTCGCGGTTCACACTGCCAAGAGAGGGAAGCACCGTGCGCTGACGCAAAGCGCTGGCCCGCCCCGGGACCCCTCCGCCCGGCCGACTTACCTGCTCCTCCGCTGACTCGCGCGGGCACCCATAAGGCCGCGCGGGAAGGACCCGCCTCTCTACCCCCCTGGTTCCGACGGGGGCGCGAGTGGGCTTCTGGGTGGCAAGCCATGGAGACTGACGGCGGGCGGCGGGTGGTAGACTGTGCAGCGGCAGGTAGTAGCAAAGCTCACAGCCCCTCCCCGCCTCGCCACGCCTCCGCGGCGGCCTGGACGAGCTGACAGGCCAGTGGCCTCGAAGCGCAGCCAGGTCGCCGCGTGCCGGGGCGGAGGAGTGAGGGTGGTGTTGGGAGTGGGAATGGTGGTAGGGGAAAGACTCGAGGGGCGCTGCGCGGGGCAGGAACGCGACAGGTCCGAGATCTCAGGGAATAAGGCTTAAGAACTAATTCTCTGGATACAGGGTCAACCTTCGGATATGGCCTCAGGGCTTTTACCAGTGCACGGCGATATTTGTAAAAGGGGTGGCACATTTGGTTGCGCTTCACCGGGTGACAAATACGCCGCCCCTCAAACCCATTTAATAACTGGAATCGGCGCCCAAGCTACTCTAACATATTAGCCACACCCTCTCTTCCACAGAGTCGTTATTTTACATCTGTTGAACAGGGACTTATTTTTCCTAAAGGGATCCCACAGTTAAAATAAACTTCTCCTGAAGAATATCCTTAACTTGCAGGGGGAAAAACCGTAAAGCCACTTACCTAGCCCTTCCATTAAATTTCCCAGAGAAGTTCTGGCATTAGCTTGGGCGCCGTGGCTGGCAGGAGGTGGGGTGCCTTGGTCACCCACAGTGTGAGTGCCGGAGTCATCCGAAGTTTCAGCTTCAGAGTCCACAAGAATTTGGGGGTCTTGGAAACTCATAGTTTCTGATTTTGAAGTTGTTGGTTCACTTTCCGACATATGGGTGAGCTGCCCCTCAGGGTACTCCAGGGTCTACCTACTTGAGGTACTAAAATGGCTCCCTGTTCAGTCATGTGACCTGAAAAGTTCCAGTACTTTCATGAAATGATGTCGAAGGTATCCTCCTTAAAGACATAGGGATAAGATTAGAGACAATACGGTTGCCTGTTAGAGATTATAGCCACGAAGTTTCTACTGTTGAACAGTTATTTAAACTTATTGTAAGGAATAAATATTTTGGGAAGACGAATGATTGTGTAATCATTTCTTCTGGATAAGTGATTTTTTTTTCCACTAGTGAAGCTAAATTACCAGAGCCTCAGACCTGGACAAAATCATTTTGGTCCCTTTTAGAATCCATGAACTGTGGTGTTACATCCTGGGTCTACTACATCAAGGGTTATAATACAAAATAGACCAATGAAATTCAGCTTTCATTTACTGTATAATATTCATGAAGGCATTTATTACATAAAAATAATTTTAATAATAAATAAAAGTTATATTTTTAGTAACTGAGATACTTGAGTAATTGTGTTTTGAATCATATAGACAATGTGAATTGAGTAATTAACTTTCCTTATGATGGCTGCTAGGATGCTCAGAACCCATTTGGCAATCCATCTCTGAAAACTGTGAACCTTATGTTGATATTTCTTTTGTCTTAAATAACGAGTTTTTCCCAATTCCCTAATTATTTTTATCTTGTGTGGTAAGTAACACTGCAAGCTGTTTCGAAACCCTTTATTTTTTTGAACCCTTTAAAAAGAGAATTAGATATAAATATTAGATAATTTTAAAAGTGTTCTTACAGAAGTGTCACAAGGAGCATCCCTATGGGTGGAAGAGAGGAGCACAGTGAGCTCACTTATAAATTCAATCACCTGACAAATGTTAATTGAGAATCTAATATGCCGAGCTTGATTTGAACTATTTATTGAATGTTTAAAATATGGTAAGAGTTTCATGGAACGAGGTAAAAATTAAGATACAGGCATATACATATGTAATTTTTCTTTAGTTGCCAGATTTCCAACACGTTCTTAAGAAAGAAAGGAATAACCCTGGGTGGTGTGCTCAGTGGGTTGACTGCAGGCCTGAGAACTGAAAGATCATCTGTTTCATTCCCAGTCAGGGCACATGTCTGGGTTGAGGGCCAGGTCCCTGGTTGGGGGCATGGAAAAGGCAACCAATTGATATATCTTTCGCATATCAATATTACTCCCTCTTTCTCCCCCCCTTCCCCTCTCTCTAAAAAATATTTTTAGAGATTTTTTAATAATAAAAGCTTTAAAAAAAAAGAAAGAAGGGAATAAAAAGTGCAAAAAAGGAGAAAGGGCAAGAATTATGATTTCTCTTGGTAGGGAAGAGCTGATCCCAGACGTAGTACTGATGTACAAATTACCTGTCACATACATACTATCATGTTGTCAAATACATACAGAATATATTTATGGGTTCTGTTCTGTCCTGTTGCTGACTTTCGAATAAGTTCTTCTGGTCCAATCCCCTCCAAAGTCCTCCTCCTCCTCCCCCAACTAAAGCTTCAATCAGGTTCATCATTATAGCAAATATGCAGTTTCATGTAATTCCTTCAACAGAAATGTATTGAATTATGTGCCAAGAACTTATCAAAGGTTAATAACATTGAACATTCACTGAGTGCTTATTAGGTACTAAGGTCTTTGCTAAGTGCTCTATGTGTATCTCTTTAACCCTCATAATTGCTCTGTGAGTTTGTTGTGACTATGGCCCTGTTTCTTTTTTTTTTTTGTCTTTTTTTAATGAGTAAACTAAGATTTTTAATAGTTAGTTAATGACCCATGTTCCACATTTAGTAAATTGCAGAGCCAATACTTAATTTAAGCTCAGGCCCATTCGACTCTG